GATTGCCAATTTTGTGTGCAACTTGATTCGAATTTGTAATTGCCATATTTACACTACCATAATTAAATACAAAAAATTTCATTTACTATGTTTTACATGGGTAGTCGCTAATAAATTGCATTATTCATCATCTGAACTATAATAACCTTCGTTATCGTCGCTATCATCACTTTCGGTCTCCCAATTCTCCTCCTCATCACTTTCGTTGTTCGAGCCCACTGGAACTTCGTATTGCGGAAGATCACCGATGTTAATTGTAATTGACTGAATCAGTATTTCGATTGAAGACACTCCTTGAAGCTGAAATGGTTCTTGTATAACATTTGTATCTCGAAGTGTTTCTGCATCATTTTCCACGGAATATTCCAACCGTTGGTCAATGACGTTGTCAACATCGTTGTTAGTTGGGTCTAGTTCTGGTATAGCATACACATTCCTCTGATCTATCTGCTAAGCAACTTTCCACCCTCTCCCAGCTTTAGGGTCATTTAGATACACAATCTGTTTTTCCATGCTTGCCAAAATGTAAGGGTCGTCATCATACCAAGTTCTGTTAATGTTCACTGATAGTAAGCCATGATCAATTTTAACACTTCCCTGCCTATTTGGGTTTGTATGAAACCATCGACACTTAAACATGATCACTTGGTATCGGTCTTTGTAAAGCAATTGCACGACAGTTGTGAGTTTGCCATAGAAATCAATGTCAGTACTTTCGCCTCCACCTAGGACATGGACACCGTTGTTTTGCGTACACAACTTGTCATCTCGTGCAGTCCCCAAAAACTTGACGCCGTTAACATGGCAACCTGAGAACAATTCAGCGCGAATCGGGCCCAACGCCAAGTTATATAACTCTTCACCGTAAGAGGGTGAATTCGATGATTTTAACTTATTCACATAATATTATACAAAAACATTCACACGTTAGTTTGAGAAAATTGAATACTACAATATATATGTCAAATACAAAACACTTATAACTTACATATTCCAAAAACCATTGTGGAAACAATTCATGGTGTTTCTTGGCATACAAATGTGATGGATGTTCTCGCTTCATCATCTCTTCATCTCATCTAAGTATGTCATTATCTCATCACAATTGTTCAGTACGAACCAATGCGCTACCTCTATGTCATTTCTGGAAAACGACTCTCCTCGTACATGATCTCCAAAGGGTCGTGCACTTTGGGAAAAAATAGAAAGTTTCTCATTTCTCAGACCTCCGTCATTATTGCACTGCGAACGATTGAAAACCGTGTCCACATCTTTTAAATACATTCCACAGAAAGTAAGCGACTCATATTGAACCCAAGCCTCTATAATTGATCCTTCGGGTTTCACCCTGCTGCGTACAGTTTTTTTCAGCTATCTGAGAAGCCTGCCAAAATAAAACGAAACAATGCAAATTAGCAAGCATGTGATAAGGATGCATAAACAAATTATGAGAATTATATACCTTTCTATTGAATACATCCAGCGATAGTTGACATGACCGGCAAGCAATGCCTCTTCTGGCAAGTGAATCATCACGTGGATCATACTTGTGAAGAAAGCTGGAGGGAATATCATCTCAAACTAGCATAGGGCATGGACAATGTCATGGCACAACTGATTAATGTCTGTCTTTCGTAATGTTTTTACCGTCAGTTGGGAAAAAAATCTGGACAACAACATGATGGGTTTCACTACATCTTCCGGCAAAAGGTGTCGAATACCCACAGGAAGTAGGCGTTGCATAAATACATGGCAGTCATGGCTCTTTAGTCCAGTAAATTTACCCCTGTCAACATTCACGCAATGCGCGATATTAGTAGCATACCCATCAGTTTCGGATGATACAAACTATAGAAAATCTTTTTTGTCATTCGGTTTCATAGAAAAAAATGCCAGATCCCTTCTAGCTTTATCACCGTCTCTGTTCATCCATAAACCTCTTCGTATGCCCATTCTTTCCAAATCAAGACGAGCTTTGATCGTGTCCTTTGTCTTGCCCTCGATATCTAGAATTGTGCCCATCAATGTGTCAAAGACATTTTTCTCAACATGCATAATGTCAAGATTGTGCCTCAGTTTTAGTTTCGACCAGCATGGGAGCTCAAAACATAGGCTTGTGCGTCCAGTTCAAATATGTAGAAGGTCTGGTCCGAGTAACTGTTTTCTCGAATGGAGAAAAATCCAAACGGTTAAGCTGTTCCAAGATCTCATCACCAGACCATTCTCTAGGTTTGAGGCGATGCTTTGTGTTCCCGTCGAACTCTTTATCCTTTTCCTGCCACTCGTGGTCCCATGGCAACCATCTCCGATGACCAAGATAACAAACTTTTCCAGCGTGCCAAACAGAAGTTACATCTTCCTTGCATATAGGGCATGCCATATAACCCTTTGTGCTCCACCCAGAAACCATTGCATATGTGGGAAAATCATTCACAGTCCACATAACTGCTGCCCGCAAAGTGAACGTCTTCCCAGTTGATTTATCCTACGTGTGCACACCGTTTGTCTATATATCATTAAGCTCATCAACCAATGGCCTTAAGTAAACATCGATTGACCTACTAGGATCCTTAGTTATCAAAACACTCATCATCATGTACTCTTTTTTCATGCATTTCCAAGGCAGCAAATTATATGGGAAAACGAAAATCGGCCAAGTACTGTGATGTTGGTTTAGAACCTTGTACGGATTGAATCTATCAGTGCCAAGTCCCAATCTAACATTTCGGGGATCAGCAGCAAACTCGGGGAATGTTCGATCAAACTCTTTCCATGCCTCCTCATCTGCAGGATGCCGCATCACATCGTTGTCTATCCGTTTTTCCTTATGTCATCTTATGTTTGTGGCAGTATGAGTCGACATATACAATCGCTGCAGCCTAGGTTTCAGGGGCAGATAACGCATGACTTTTTGTGTGATCTTAGTTGTTCTATTCTGAGATGTCATCTTGAACATTGACTCTTTGCATATAGGGCATGTATCCAATGTTTCATACTTTTTGTAGAATAATATGCAATTATTTTTGCAAGCATGAATTTTTTCATAACCCAATCCAAGACCATTCAACACCTTTTGCGTGTGTCTATGGTCTTTCGGCAAACAATTGTCCATCGGAAGCATTTTCTTGAAAATCCCCAGAAAGTAATCGAAACACAGGTTCGACATACGATACTTTATTTTTCCTTGCATTAACTCCACAATGGCCATGAGAACCAAAAAGCTCTTACACCCCGGATATAACTCTTGGTTTGTATTTTTTAACAGTTGTTCATATTGTTTGAACTATGCACTGTCCATTGGGGTAGGCACGTCATCTTCCCCTTCCCAATTGATGTTGGTCGATGCAAATGGAAAAGCATCATTTATAATATCCATGAATTGTTCATTAGGATCCACAATAGGTTCAACATTGTCCACTCTTGTGGCATTTGAAGACGAAGCATTGTCTAATTGTTCCTCGGAAAGGTTCCAAATGCTATATGTCTCAACCATTCCATTCCTTATTAAAATCATTCCAACATTTTCAATTGTCTCCCACAACGTGTTGTTACATCTCCTATAAGGACAACGGATTCTAGTTGCACCCGGGTTGTGTCTACGTGCAAACTCAATAAAATTCTTAATTCCATCCAAGTATTCATCTGCGCATCTATTCGGGTTCTGTATCCACCTCCTGCTCATAATTCCTGAAACCACAATCATAGCAACAATCACAACAACTTCATACGAAGTTATAATGTCACCTTATGCCTCCGGTAAGGGCCCTATCCCATTCGGGAATGCATAGTCCTGTCACGTAACCTACGGCTATATGAGATTAGATTTTGACGTGGATGAATTTCGGCAGCATCTCGATACAGTTCTTGAGATGGGCAGAGGTATAAATACCTACGTACCACCCGAAGAACGTATAGAGATGACATCGAAATCTCCACAATCGAAACCTAATTCTGTAGCCATATATTACGTAACATGACTATGCATTCCCAAACTGTCCAAATAATTGGACAATTCAAGAATTAATTGGACCGCAGTCATGTTTTACGCATCCATGCACGAAATCCAACTAATCTCGAATGAGAAACTAAGTGTTACTAAAAATAAAAGTACGAAGTTAATTTCAATTAACTTCATACATCACAACAAATTTGCTACGTAACACACAATTTAACAACATAATATAAATATAATTTCACAAAAAAAATACAAACATAATAAATTAAGTTTAACATAAAATATCCCACGTTTTTCTTACGCGACGATCTAGCTTGTCGTCGCGCTAAGTGGTCTTTTGCGACAATTTTTTTCGTTGCACAAATGTTTGCCACCATAGAAAAAAACCCCTTGTTTTCTGTCCATCTTTACGCGACGAAATATAATACCGTCGCGCAAGGTTCTCTTTAGCAACGAATTCTGTAGTCGCGCAAGTTGTTGGTGCCAAAAAAATAAACCCGCGTTTTTCTTCCTCACTTTGTGCAACGATCTTCTCTTTTGTCGCACTAAGAGCATCTCCAAGGGATATGTCAAATACCAAATATCAAATTTAAATTTGATGGCTGATGCGGCAATTTGACATCTTACACGGCTTTACACTCCACCCAATATGTCAAATTAAATTATTATTTTATTACATTTTAGTGGTGATTTATTTTTAATTAAAAAGAAAATAAAAGAAAAAATAATAAAATATTCATTTGACATCTTACTTTTGGGATGTCAAAAATAACATCTCAACCTCCAGCCTTCATTCTACATCAGCTTTGACACATCGGTTCGAGTGATGTGAGATATTTTTTCTAGCCGTTAAATTTCTATGTGGTACTTTGGACACGTCGATTGGAGATGTTCTAAGATCTCTTGCGCGACGAAAGTTTTTGTCACACAAGTTTTCGATATTTTGGGCGACAAATATTTTTACTCGTTGCTTAAGTGTTTCTTACGCGACGAATTTTGGGTTGTCGCGCAAACTTTCGTCACACAAATAGTAAAATGTAGTAATATCAAGAGAGTGATTTGGCCAAACACATAAATTTAAAATAAATACCAACCAAAAAAAAAAAAAAAAAAAAAAAAAAAAAAAAAAAGCTAATAGCACATTTATTGCATATATAATACCGAATACATGCACCGGACATAAAGAGCCTTAACATATCTTAAGGCAAAGGAAAACCAGAGCATGATTATTATTATTTTGGAGAAGGTCCTCGGTTTACTTATTTGATGATATCATAAGTAGCTGAAATTGTGGGCTTGTTAATTAGTTGTCGATATCATAAGCTTAATTGGTGAGGGCAGTGCGCTCGTCTCTAGTGGTCAATGATTCGCGGACGCTGCTTGTTCCCAAGGCAAACACACTCTGACAACTGAGGAGGCCAAATCATCGTGCAAGCGCAATTTTCACACGACTGGATGCATTCGCTATATGGAATCAGGCGTGAATATTTTTTGTCACTCATTTCTGCAGAACCTGTGTGCACAACATTATCATCATCATCATCATCAATACTTGGTTTTTGAATTTTACAAGTTCTGGAGAATTTTTGCTACTCAATTACCAGAGTCTTGGACTGTCGGCTTCTGGAGACAAATGCAGTCCGATAATTCAATTGGAAAATCAAGTGTGCAAGCGCATGTTCCACAAGATCCAATGCATTGTTTATATGGAATAGCTACTTGTTTTTCTGCAGCTTGTTCTGTGGAATATATCATGATATATTAGTTCTTATATTGTAACATAAAAAATTATATATTTCGTGTATCTCAAATACCATCTGACATGCCGACGTGTAAGTGTTGTTACAAAACCATCCAAATCATAACATTGTACAAACTATATATTAAGCATAACGTAACATGTGTTATATATCATTTGGATGAATTTGGAACACTACAACGTGGGTGGTATATCAACGTCGAGTAATTAATAATTTATAGCCTGAAAAACTATATTAATGAAGTAAAAAATTATTATAAAAATATAAATAATAAGTAACTGGTTACCGTATTTCTGGATGGCTGGTTTGTCGGCCACCGTGGTAGAAAGGAGGCAAATACACGTTGCTAACTCAGGTGGATAAATAAGTGTACAAGCGCAGGTTTCACAGGATTGGATGCAATCTTTATATGGAATTGATGCTGGTTTTTCTTTCGAGTTGGTAATTAGCATATATTGCCTCTTAAATATGTCCAAGCGAGCATCAGTTAATGCTGCCGCAGCTACCATCAACAACAAAGTCATCTTCAGCACCACCATCTTCAACATCCTCTCTCTCTCTCTCTCTCTCTCTCCTGAAATGTGTGTTGGAATTAATATGTATTGTAAACAGGGAAGGAGGAAGGCTAGAGAAATTTATAGAGCAAAAGCAGTACAGCATGCAGATGATGTACACATATTACGTACGTGTGCACAATAAGATCAACGCACCAGCATATGCTGATTAGGTGTTCATAATGCAGGTTGAACACATGGAGGTACGTACAAAATTACATGCATGCATGGGAAGCTGAGGATAGAGATAATTGAATAATTTGTCGACTTTCATCATTCACGTGTTCTGTCGACTTTTGTGGGACCTGCAGTGCAGAACAAGGCACATCGAGATGATTGAATAATTTGTCGACTTTCATCACTCACGAGATACTCGTATAAGTATAGTGTAAAGCTAAGATCATGCCAAGTGTGATAGATTTAAACCATGTAAGATCGGTCCATTCAATATGTTGTGGTGTTAGAATATTCTGATCATAGTCCTATCAATTTTTTAGTTTAGAAATGGTACATATTTCATGCCCCTATTAGATATTTAAAAATGTAGAAAATTTGGTTACATGAACCTTTCTTCTTTTTTTTTCCTATTCATGCTTTTATTGGCAATATTAGTGATTTAATTATTATTATTTTTATTAAAACAATACAGAAAGTTTTTGGAACATTAAAACAAACTAGACAAGAATAACAAAATTTATACCATACACATTTTTAGCACTCTACTTCTCATATCATTTGGCATGGACTATATTTCATTACTAAACTTTAAGTTTTACAATTACAAGAACCTTATTGGCCTCAACCTAGTATTACGTGGTATAGCCTGGACATGTACTATGTGAAAAAATTATAGGAGATTTAAATACTAAATAATTCCATGCTTCTGCTACTTTAGCAAACAAACAAAAAATCTTATTGCTAAACTTAATTTGGATACTGACATTTGGATTACTAATCAATAGCACCAATTTGTTTGTGGAAATATCTCACACACTACTACAAAAAAAAGGAAAACATATGATCAGAAAACAACCATGGTATAACAAAATACCGTCGTTATTGTGTTTAGAAAGACGATGGTAACAGAAAACCATCGTGGATAAGTAACTTAAACACCTAAAAAATCGAGATCCGCTTGGGTATTTCTAAAACAAGATGCACCAACTTAAAAGCGTCGTCTTATTGAACAGGTGTTCTTCATAGTTGATGTAGAAAATAATTCCTTGTATTTTTCATTCCTTCCGTGAATAGTATTTATAATACAATGGGGGTTGTGTTAATTACAAGTGCCGTGCACACCACGCAAGTCCTAATAAACTTCCTATCAAGATACAGATGGAGAGATGTTAGGGATTGTGTGAGAGATTCGAGGGAGCGAGCTAACACCCCCTCGCAAACTAGGCAGCCTTGGCTGAACAAGTTTGGAGCAAAGCAACATGTGACGAGGCTTGTGAAGAGCCTTGGTGAGCAGGTCGGCCGGCTGATCAATAGAAGGAATGAAGAGAACACGGTGACTTCCAAGAGCCACCTTTTCACAAACAAAATGATAGTCAAGTTCAATCTGACGGGTACGAGCATGAAAGACGGGATTAGCGGCCATGTAGGTGGCACTAAGGTTGTCGCAATAGAGGAGAACGGGGAGAGGGAAAGTGACGCCAAGTTCCTGAAGCAGAGAGAAAAGCCAGGTGTTTTGGCACAAGAATGAGCTAGAGAACCATATTCGGACTCGGCACTAGAGCTAGGCTGTTTCTTGGAGCACCAGGAGAGGAGATTGGACCCAAATTAGACAAGGTAGCCACTCGTGGAGCGCCGAGTATCAGGGCACCCAGCCCAATCGGCATCAGAGAAGGCACAAAGGCGTGCTGTGAGAGGCTGAGGACGGAAGACAAGACCGTGATCAAGAGTGCCCTTCACATAGCGAAGGATACGCTTGGCTGCGATAGGGTGTGGAGCACGGGGGGAACTCATGAACTGGGCGACAGTGTTGAGGTATTGGAGGGAGCCAACAATTTCCCGAAACTAAGTAGGGAACGCAAGGGGTGAACCGTCAAGGTGAGAGAGAGACACCTTGGCTGCAAGGGGCATGGAGACCGGTTTGCTGTGGTGAAGGTTATGTTTCCGCAGAAGATCAACCGCATACTTGAGCTGGTGGACGTGCAAGCAGCCATTTCGGTGGAGAACCTGAAGACCAAGAAAGTAGTCCAGCGGGCCAAGGTCTTTAATGTCGAACCCGCAACCCAAGGCGTCGATGAAGCTTTGTAGAAGGCTAGGAGAATCTCCAGTTAGGATAATATCATCAACATAAAGAAGGAGATAGATAGTATGAGCACCAACATTATAAATGAAGAGGGAAGAGTCACTGAGACTTTGTTTGAAGCCCACGGCAAGAAGAAATGAGCTGATGCGGTGGAACCACGCACGAGGGGCCTTTTAAGGCCATAAAGAGCCTTGTGGAGCTTGCAAACGTGGTGAGGCCGATCCGGATCAGAGAAGCCGGGTGGTTGGGACATGTAAACATCTTCGTGAAGGAAGCCATGCAATAAGGCATTTTTCACGTCAAGTTGGCGCATGGTCCATCCTCGGGAGACAGCAATGCTAAGAACAGTGCGGATGGTGGCGGGCTTCACGACGGGGCTGAAGGTTTCGGAGTAGTCGATGCCGGGTTGTTGGTGGAAACCTTTGGTGACGAGACGTGCCTTGTGGCGCTCGATGGAGCCATCGGAGCGACGTTTGATGCGAAAGACCCACTTGTAACCAACGGGCAGGCGATGACCCACTTGCAACCAACGGGCAGGCGATGAGAGGGGGCGGAACAAGAGACCAAGTGTTATTCTTGAGGAAAGCGTTGATTTCTTCAGACATGGCAGACCTCCATTCAGGACTTTTGACGACTTGAGTGAAACAAGTGGGTTCGAGGTTAGCGATTTGGTGCATGAGAGCCTTGGGGAGGGGATATCGAATGGTGTCGTCGGAGTATGGTGATACCATCACGCAGGCGTGTGGTCATGGAGTGACGAGGAGTTGCAGGCGGTGCGAACTGGAAAAGAGGCAACGGCTGTGTGGATGGAGCAGGCGACTGCGGAGGCTGAGATGGAGAGGCAGCTGGAGGAGACAATGGGTCAGAGAGGTCAAGAGGAGGTGGTGAGCGAGCGAGTGGAGAGACAGGCTCGACAAGGGCCGAGGACACACCAGGCCGGGTGGAGGAGAGTGGAGGGGACACGGGATCCGGGAGAGCAGAAAATAATTCCTTGTATTTTTCATTCCTTCCGTGAATAGTATTTACAATGGGGGTTGTGTTAATTACAAGTGCCGTGCATACCAAGACAAGTCCTAATAAACTTCCTATATGTATCAAGATACACATAGTGAGATGTTAGGGATTGTGTGAGAGATTTGAGGGAGAGCAAGAGAATCTCACTAACACTTAAACTTTGACCCCAAAAACAACGACAGCATGTATGAAGCCACCGACGTAGAAAGTAAAGACGACGGTTTACCAAAATAGCCGCTATGTTAACTCCTAGATAAATACGACCAACTATTCTTAATCAGAGTCATATAATTTTAATGGAATCCACGTCGGTATATTACAAAACAGCACCGTATTAAAGCCATGTACCACGATGGTAAAGATAAATTTATCAACGTATTATATGAGAGTGTACTACAACAGTATCTATAACACTAATGTTGTATAGAGTAGTAGAGAACTACGACACCAGAAGAGTAGATAACGATGTCTAAATTCAATAATATCCAAGTTGTATTTTTAATATATCAAGACATATTAAGTTAGTACACGATGACGGTCTGTATAAGTTAGTAATAACCATGTCGGTTTGTTCAATGAGCATCGTATAATATTATTTTACCACATCGTTAAGTGAAAAATACCATTGTATTTATTTAATTTATACGACTTCCCTTATCTGTAAACTGTTGTCTTAATTTTTGTTGTTTTTTAAGATTTTTTTTCTTGGATTTTGGTAGCCTACGACGGTAGATCAACAAAATGACAAGAATTGAGAAAAACCACGACGGTTTATATAGAAAACTGTCGTCACAAAGAAATTAAAATGAAATCCCAAGAGATACGAAATCTTACCAGTGGGAGCTATGTTCCTCATCATAATCGAACCACCAATGTGAGAAAGACAATATTTTAGACGTTGATGACGTACGTGTCTTTGTATCTTTGAGATACACAAAGGAACATACGCATCAAAATCCAAACTATTTGCCTCTAAACCAAACCCGGCCTGAACTGACAACGGCAAGCTTTGAGAAATATAATTTTTTGAAAGTTAACGATGTGTGTGTTTTGGTGTCTTTGAGATACACCAAAACACATACATTGTTAACATCCAAATTATTGCCTCAAGAAAGGTGAGAGAGAGCCAAGGCCTGAAGTGAGGACGGCAAACAAGGGTATGAACTGAAAATTTGACCACCAATGGCCAAAAGAATGCAACTTTATTTCAAGTTGGAACCATGAGTGAAAACTGAAAGTGAAAGAACGCGTGAAAATACACAATTTATACAAATAATATTTACTAACCATGGTGGCCCTTTTATAAATTGCATCGTCTAATATTGAACAATCCACGACGCTTATTTTTTATTAAGTGCAGTATTAACTTAATATACCACAGCAGTAAAAGGAAACTTTTGACATGTAAAATCGTAATTAACCACGTCAGTTTCTACTATCCTATAGTCGTTTTAAAGAAATACTAGGGCGGTAATTTAGAATATAGCGGTGGGTTATTTCTACTAACCACGTCGGTTTCTTTAGTTAGAGCATCATTAAAATTATATTCCCACATCGTTAAGTGAAATATACCGCCGTCTATTTGTTTTATACGACTGTCATTTCTGAATACCGTCATCTTAAATTTGTATTGCTTTTTTAGATTTAATTTCTGGATTTTAGTAGCCTACGACAATAGATTAACAAAATGATAAGTACGGAGTAAAACCACGACGGTTTATATAGAAAACCATCATATGCGTT